GGACACGGCACCCCACCGCCGCAGAGACCACCGGACACGGACACGGCACCCCACCGCCGCAGAGACCACCGGACACGGACACGGCACCCCACTGCCGCAGAGACCACCGGACACGGACACGGCACTCCACCGCCGCAGAGACCACTTCACACGGACACGGCACTCCACCGCCGCAGAGATCACCGGACACGGACACGGCACTCCACTGCCGCAGAGACCACTTCACACGGACACGACACTCCACTGCCACAGAGACCACCGGACACGGCACTCCACTGCCGCAGAGACCACCGGACACGGACACGGCACTCCACTGCCGCAGAGACTACTGGCCATCTCCCCACCTTCGTTCACACACTGCACACACAGACGTACACACACACAGAAGTGTACATTATCAGAGAGAGAGAAATACACATTTCACACACACACAGAATATACATTATCACACACAAATACAGAGAAATGTACATTACCACACACACAGAATGTACATTATCACACACATACAGAATGCACACTATCACACACACAGAAATGTACATTAGTACAGAGAGAAACATACATTTTCACACATACACAGAATATACGTTATCACACACAAATACACAGAATGTACATTATCACACACAAATACAGAAAAATGTACATTATCACACACACAGAATGCAACTATCACACACAGAGAAATGTACATTATCACACATACACACACAGAATACATATTATCATACACAGAATATACATTGTCACACACAAATACAGAGAAATGTATATTACCACACACACACAGAGAAATGTACATTATCTCACACTCATACACACACAGAAACGTACGTTATCACACACATACACAACGTACGTTATCACACACACACACAACGTACGTTATCACACACACTGAGAAATGTGCAGGATCCCAAGGAGCTCCTCCAAGCTGCAGCACCATACCCACTGCCCCACAGGGACCACGGTCTGTAACGGGACCACCTGTCACAGGATCTGGGGATCGTGGTGCCTTGGGGAAACAACCCCGGCCCACGTGCTCCTGTGGCCTTTCTTTTCTAGGGTGTGGGAGGTAACTATGGTGCTCTGGTGGTGTAGTGCATAAGGCATCTGACTGCTAACCAGAAGGTTGTTGGTTCAAACACACCAGCCGCTCAGCGGGAGGAAGATCAGGCAGGCAATCTACTTCTGGGTAGACTTACAGCCTTGGAAACCCAATGGGGGTCGCTGTCATTCAGAACCAACTCAATGGCAGTGGGCGTGGCTTTTTTGTGTGTGGGAGGAGGTAACTGGGAGTAGGCAGGGGATGGCTGAGATACACACAGAGGGACGGAGACCACAGACCAGGGGGAGCCCCGATCTCCCAGCAGCTGCCAGGCCCACTGGGCCAGTCGGTCACGGTGCCACGCTGAACCCTGGCGCGTACCTGCAGATTTTCTTCAGCTCCTTCATCTTCTCACCATTCAGTTCAGCTTCTCCCGAAGTTGTGAGCGCTTCGACCAACTGTGAAAGCTTCTGATCCATGTCTGAAACATGCAATAGAGAGATGCCAGGTGACAACCCCGTCCTCTACAGTTGACACTTTATCACCAAACATTTCCTGAGCTCCACGTATGCCAGCCATTCTGGGAAGGGCCGGGGGCAGAAGCTGTCGTGCCACTGCCACCAGGAGATGACCCCCGGGACACACAAGTCCAGGTGGTATCCAGGGGGAGCCCAAGAAGACCTCCGTGCTGACAGGAAACATGCAGAGAACAAGTCACTTGAGCTCCACACCCACACAAGTCTGAGGGACACTCTAGTTGCTCTTGGGGGCTGGTGACATGTGGAGCATGCTGAAGAGGAGAGGACCACTCACTACCTCACGTAAGCTAGCTTCTCCCAAACTTACCTGACCGGGGCTGACACCACCTCCCACAGGACACCCTCTGGAAGGACTGCAGAGGGCAAGGGGCAGCTGGTTTGCTTACAAGAACCCAATGACAGTGCTTGTAGACCCTGTGGGTCCCTGAGGAGGCCAGGTGCAAACAGGGGCAGGTGATCCAGGGCCCCAGTGCTGGGCGGGGCAGGGCACTGTAGGGGAGAGAAACGGCCAGGGGTAGGGGCGAAGCTACGAACGTAGACAGAAGAAACAGAAACAGCAGAGGAAGGGCAGGGGACGAGGCCCAGGCCAGTCGGGGACTGGGACTGGGGCAGCGTGGGGCACTGGCTGTGGAGGTGAACTGCCTGGGGTGGAAGGGGAGCCGTGAGGCGGCTTCAGGAGGAGCCCGCAGGCCCAGGGGGCTCCTCGACCTCCAGCCCCAAGCCCACTCTATCATCTTCCCAAACGGAGAACAGCAGTGGCATCACTACAGGGGTATGGACTGTACCACGTGACACTGTCACAGGTGGTGAGGCTGTCAAATTTTTGTGCAGTGTTTCAGTACAAATGTGTTTACAAAAACATCCCAGTAACAGAACAAAAACATTTTCCCTGAGTCTAGCTTACATGTCAATGTACCTACAAGACTAACTCTATGCTGACTTACTTTTTTGAGCGCTCTAGTGGCACAGTGCCTAAGGCATTTGGCTGCTAACCAGAAGGTTGGTGGTTCAAACCCACCAACCACTCCTCAGAAGGAAGACTGGGCAATCTACTTCTATAAAAATTAACCACCTAGGAAACCCAAAGGGGGTCTCTATGAATCGACTCGATGGCAGTGAGTTTGGGTTTTTTTAATGCACTCTGGTTGGAGCCATCATTATCACCCAATTATAATGAGGCTTCAAATCACGTGGTTTTGTCTGAGCACTGTTGTTTTGTTGCTAGTGCTTTTACAGTCACTCATTTTGTCAAATTTTCTGGTGTTTTAGGTACAGCGCTGTGGTAATTTATATTCGTGAACCTGTATCAAAAACTCTTTTGACGGTATAGTAATTAAACAAAAAACAGAAAAATCAAAAACAGCTTCCACTCACTAATGATGTTGTAACCGCCAGTACTGTAATTCCACATAGAAAGGATTTTACAATTTCGTTGTTAGTGTTCATAGAATCTAAGAAATAGTATATTCAAGCAATTTACAACTACAGTTATCACATATCATTCTATGAGGAATAAAAAAGACAGAAGAGCTGGTGCTTTTGAGTTGTGGTGTTGGTAAAGAATACTGAAGGTACCATGGACTCCCAGAAGTGACACATCTGTCCTGGAAGAAGTACAGCCGGAATGCTCCTTGGAAGCGAGAATGGCCAGACTTCATCTCCCCCTTTGGTCATGTTGTCAGAAGGGACCATTCACTGGGGAAGGGTATCATGTCTGGTTGAGTGGAGGGTCGTGAAAAGGGGGAAGGCTCTCAAAAAGGTGCACTGACACAGTGGCTGCAATGATGGGTTCACGCACAGCAAGGATTGTGAGGATGAAGCACGCAGTTTCATTGCACACAGGGTCGCCGTGACTGGGAGCCGACTAGACAGCACCTGATAACATCATTCCATAGTTACAATGGGAGCTCTGGTGGCCTAGTGCCTAAGGCATCTGACGGCGAACCAGAAGGCTGTGGTTCAAACCCACCAGTCACTCCTTGGAAGGAAAGTTTGGTTAGGGTTTACTTCCGTAGTGATATCACTTCGCAAACCGAAGGAGGGGTCGCTATGAGTTGGAGTTAAAATTGATAAATCACATTATTAAGGATTCTCTACGGTCTGGGATGGCAGGAGGTCCACGAGAAGGGGAGGCACCAACCCTGGCGAGACCAATGACCCCAGGAACAGAACAGCCTCCACGCCAGGATCTCACACCCCAGGGAGCGGACCTCCCCGCCCTCACAGGCACCAGAGACGCCCCCTTCCGACACCTGAAGCTGCCGGAGCCTCTCCAGGCGCAGTGGGAAGACGTTTCACATCTGGAGAGCCAACGACTCGCAAAGAGTCTGTCGGTGAAAACACGCACTTCACAACGCAAACTCGCACCCACAGCAACGCGTGACAGCAGCCCCCGGCCCGGGAAAATCAAGGGACTCTCCCTCCAGCTCCCTAGTAGAAGGGCGCCGCCCAAGCGGCCCATGACGGCCCCTGCCTCCCGGGAGCGTCTCTCTGCGGAGATCGTCACCTCCGTCTGACGTGCGCCCAAGGGCTGCGGGGACCCAGAGTGACCAAGCAGGTGGAATAGCGCAAGGAGGGCCCCGTCCGCGGGCCGCCGCTCTCCGACCTCGCCCCGCCGCCCGGCCCCCACGTAGTAAATCTAAGGACGGGAGCCCTGCGCGACCCTCGCCCTGACACCGCGGCGCCGGCAACACTTACCTCACGTCACGGCGGCTCCCGCCTCCCCTCCAACCCTTCCGGCGTAGACTCCGCCCCACGCCTGTCACGTGTTCGAGAACGCTCCTGCTACTACTGGCTCGCCTTGGTCCAAAGGATGCGGAGGCAGGGGTCAGGGCAGCGACTGCGGCACCTACCGCACGACGCAGTCGCTCCCTCCTGCGCCCCACCTCTTCCGGTCCTGCCCCGCCCACCTCCCCTCACGTGCCCCTCACCTCGGCAGCCATTGGCTCGCTCTGGTCCGGCGGCTCGGGAGCGAGGGCGGGCCTGGGTCAGCGCGATGACGGAGGCGCGCTCCCGGCGGGGCGGGGCGGCAGGGAGAGGAAGACGCGCGAGAAAAAAGAGGCGGGAGGGCGCAGCAAGCTTACCTTAAAGGGGACGTGGGCACAGGCGCATTGCCGACTCTCTGCCCCCGCGAGCGCTAGCTGTGACACGCCGACGTGGAAACTGAGACCCGTAGCGGGGGTTACCATCTCAATTTCAACACTACGGCTACCGGGAGGCTCGGGGTCCCTGCAGATAGGGTCGGCTGGGATGGCCCCGTTGGAGCCTTGGAGCTCGTTTCTCACGCCCCGCGGTTGGGCCGGGCCCCCAGTTCCCGGGGTCGAGACCGGGAGCCGGAGAGATAGTGAGTAGCTGCAGAGGAGAGCCGAGGCGACGCTTGTGCAGCCGGACGGTGGCGCCCGTGCGCCGCGGGCGGATTTGGTCTCCCCGCCCGCCCGAGCCAGCATAGATGCAACTCGGGGGTGGAGGGTGAACCCAGGGGTGGGCCTGCGAATTTGGAGGTTCCCGTCAGGTGGAAGGCGGCGTCTAGGGAAGTGCAGCTTCAGACCCGCTGCTTCTGTGGGATGCGCCCCCCGCCCAAGCACGGGTGGGTCGGGACCAAGGTGCCTGAGGCCCAGAGAAGCGCCCCGGCTGGAAACTTGAATCCACACGCAGCTTGGATTCAAACACCACGACTGGCACTTGCACAGCCATGCCTGTCCCGTCTGCAGCCACCCCGGTCCACGTGTCCTCGCAACTTTGCACCCCTTGCTGCCAACACCGTCCTTGCAGCCGCGGAGCCCTGGCCCGGGTCCCCTCCCCAGGTCTCAGCAGAACATCCCACTCCTTTGTGGTGTTTGCTCAAATATTACCCCTTGAAGCCTTTATATACGTGGACATCTCTCCCCAGCCTACTTCCTGGCCCCTGTGAGCTCCTCATTTCTCGTTTCTCCTCGGAGCACTGTCCCCCACCCCCGGGTCACCTGCATCTGCATTGCAGGCCCCATGACAGTCAGTTGACCTGCATATGTGTTGGGTGGAAATGGCTCCACACACTGGAAGACTTCAGAAGTCCTGCCAAGGAAATGAGAGTGGCCGGTTTGCCCTGCCTCCAGCCAGCAAACGTACTGGGGCTGCCCAGAGCGTGAGCTGGCCACACCTTGGATGTGTGCAGTTACACATTTCCCAGGCACTTAGAACACGTCACCCAAGGCCGTGACCTGCCCCTCCTAGCTCCCACACCTCAGTGCAGGGCCAGGATCCACCCAGCAGCCCAGGTCATGGGACACTGATGCCCCTCACAGCACCTCCTGGCTGTCTGTGTCTCTCCATCTGAGACCCCCCTAGTCCCAGAGAACACCTCTGCCTGCCTTTGTAGCTAGGAGGGGTCCTTTTGGAAGGCAGATCAGATTGCATCACCCCGTTCGGAGCCATTGTATCGACCGACCGCAGGCACAATGCCATTGCTGAACCCACCCTCCGCTGCTGCTCAGTCCCGCGGCCTCTGGGCATCTGCCCACGCTGCCTGCCTGCAGCCTTCAGCCCTCACCCCCGCACCCACTCACCACTGCATCAGCAGTTCGCTCCGCCTCCAGCTTTTGGCTCTCGAACTCTTTCCTGAGGAAGGCCTGCTCGGACCTCCGCAACACGAGGCTCATGTCAGGTCTGCAGTGCTGGAACTAAGTAAGTACTCAGTAAGCAGGCCAGATACTGTGGCCTGGGACGATGTCAGATGGAACAAAAAACTGATTAAAACGTATGTCCACACAAGGACTGTTACATAGATGTTCACAACAGTGCCATTCAGAATAAGCAAAAGGTGGAAACAGCCCCAGTGTTCATCAGTGGATGAACGGATAAACAAAAGTGTGGTCCATCAGTACAGTGGAATATCATGCAGCCATGAAAAAGAATGAAGCCCTGATACATACTACAACATGAATGAACCTCAAAATCAAGTG